GAATTAGTGATGCAGGCACAGATTAAAGGTCAGCAAGAAAGTTAAACCAGGGGCTGGGGATTTAGCTCAGCGGCATAAGCACCTGCCTTGCAAGCAGGCGGTTGTGAGTTCGATCCCCGGTACTGATAAAAAAAAAAAAAAAAAAAGAAAGAAAGAAAGTTAAGCCAGGTGAGGCAAAGATATATAATGAAGGAGGAAGGTAAAGAAGCTAGTTGGCAAATGTGTATCTGATTGCCAAAGAACCAGCAAAATAAGTTTAGTTTTAATGCAAAAAAGATGAGCAAATTAAGACATGTACCAAAACACAAGAATAAATCCTTTGGGAAGTGATATTACGTTACATATAGATTTGGAAGTGCCTTAGTTTTCTTTCTCTATATAATTGAAAGTTTAAGAATACAAACTCCAAAATAAAATGTCTATCACCAGCAAGAGATTATTTATCTTGTGTAAATTTTTCCCATGCAAAATTCTAGGAAAAAAATAAAGGAAATAAAAATGAGTCTACAGTTAGCAAAGACAGTAGCAAAGTTCAAACATAATGTTCAGCTTACACTGATCATGGGTATTTGGTAGGAACAAATGTGAGTTTCCGGGCTGTAGACAGGCTCACACTTGTCAATAGGAGACACAGTACCTGGTAAATAGTTGGATAATGCCTAACTCATTTCAGTTGTTTTCTGAATGAGGCTTTTAAGTTTATCCTTAAACTCTGGCCAATATTTATTAACTTGCTCCTCTAAGGAGGCATGATGTGACTTCCATAAAGAATGACTTATAAACTAGGGTAAACAATGTTTATGTGTTGGGGACTGCCCTGAAGTTTTCATTATATGTTCAGTAGATATGTTCACATCTGACCATAGATATGCATCTGTTAATTTATTTGTTAACATCTGCTAAAATCCTACGATATAAAAGCCCTGTGCTAATGATTCTGACATAGGCTACTAAACCATCTGTACTGACAAGGACAGTCATTGTAGAGATCATGTGCCACTTTTTGGATCTACTAAAATTATTACTCACTTTTACTAGGCTATGGTTCCAGAAATATAACTGCCCAAATCTTACCCAGCTATCAACGCAAATAAACTCAGGGATATACTTTCTAAACTGAAATGACCTCAACAACCCTTTAAAAGGTTTTTTGTGCATAGCTTATTATGTGTCAGGTTTTGCGCTAGGCACTGGAGGTATAAAAATAAATTAAGACATATTTGCCCTCAAAGAGCTCCAACTCTGGATTGGGGGGTGGTGTGGAAAGGAAGATAAATATGTGCATTAAATGTAACATAATGTGCTTATTGATATACAATGAATATTTAAACCATATGCTGTGGAACACATAGAAAGGAATGACTAGTTTTTCTAGTAGGAAAAAATCAGGTTTCAAAAGGAAGTGGCATTTGAACTGATCCTTGAGTGATGAATAGTAGAATTTTATCAGGAGTAAAGGAGAAAAAACAAAATGAACAAAGGCACAGAAGCCTGATTCTGTGTAATATACTCATCTAAGCACAGTTCCAGTATAGCTGGAACACTGAAACCCAGTACTAGAACTATGTACTGAAATATACAAGAGAATAGGAGCTAGAGATGAAGGTTAGACTTTATCCCACAAGGATGAGGGATGGAAAAGGGATTTTAAACAAAAAAGTAGTAAGATCATATGCAACATGTGATCTTGGATAACTGCACAGTGCCATGCATCGATCCATATTGGAGCTGAGATGTAAGGATGAAGGAAGGGCCTGATTCACGTAGATAAGTCAATTAATTGCCTTTGTGGAGGATATGGCAGAGTGAGGCTAGTACAAGAGATTAGCAAAATCAGTGTGAAAGTGTTGACTCACCCATATGAGGGCATAATAGCAACAATAAAATAGCACAGCGTAGAAGAAACGGCAATGGCAAGAAAAGCAGGCGTCAATTCAAATTCCAGAGCTGCCATTGATAGATGATTCTGGGGGCAAGCTTTTTAAATTCTTTGAGTTTCAGTTTCACTGTACATAAAATGGTGATCATAACATATGAAGATCAGAAATAATAAAGGTATAAAGCCATCTCTCATACTTAGCTCAACACCCTTTACTGATTATTATTAAATGAGAAAATTAGTAAAAGACAGACTTACAGATATTCAAGAGAAAATAAATTAGGAGTTAGTGCTTGACTAACTATGGAGAAATAAGGGTAAGGAGGAGTTAAATGTAACTTACATTTTTAAAGTGGGCAACTGGTCATTTGGTCTACTTCCTTACCTCTGTCTAACCTAAATTTACACTATAAGGCAGTTGATATTCTTCTCTGGAGAACCTACATTTTAATACATGTTCACCAATTAAGCCCACTACATTTCTAATTATATTCTCTAATTCAAATATTAGTTATACAACAGTATGACATTAAATAGGAATTATCTTCAAGATCTTTGTCAGTTAATTTCAAGTTCAAATGTTGGTCTATTCATCTTGATCCTTAGATAATGAATCAGGACAATACTGTATGCTTTCTAAATTAGTGGAGGACCCTAAGAAAAAACAGATAACTTAAATGCAATAAAGAGTTCTGAAATCCAAGTTAAACATAAAACATACTCATAAATGTCTAGATGGAAAAAAAGACAGTAAAATACAGGCTAGAACAAAAATACTTAAAATCATTCGGAAGAATCTTTTCCCAGTGAATAAGTGGTGCTGATTCCTATAATAACTTATTTTATGAATTTCTATTACAACATTTGTAGGTGTGGAAATTCATTTTATGCATTATGTTTTATTATAGTAGTGTTGGTTAAAATACCACAGTGTTCACAGACAGGAAATGACCAAAAATAAAGCAGTTTCACTGCATGCATCCAATGTAAGCAAAGAAAACATTACACCAAGTATTTTCCCATTTCTGCCAGGCAAAAGAAACCTGCAATATGTCATTTTACTGTAGAGCTGTCCCAAATACAGAGAACAGTGAAATCATTAATGGAATACAGCAAAGTTTTAAAGAATTTCTTCTCTTTATGTGTCTATAATTTTCCATGGACCCTTGTTTCCGGGCATTTAGTTTACACACCCATAAGCCAAAGGTCACAGACACTGTTAACACAAGAATTAGCCACTTTTTTGGCACTATGAAATACTAAAGACTATAAATGATTGCTTAAAATTGAAAACCTTATGTAGTATTAAGAACACAAGTTGAAACACTACAGAATAGATCTTATAGCTCTCCGACTAGCTTTCCAGCTTCAGAAAAGAATGAGATTTATGTCATTCTCAAAAGATACATTTTAATTATATTTTTAAAGACATATAGAACGTAGCAAACCAACTCTAAACACTGAAAATGCCTGAGTTTGCACTTTCAGATAAAATAGTAGATAGACTGAGCACATGTGTTGAACATCTTTCTCTAGGATTCTGTTGAACAATGTTAAAACAATTGAAAAGGAATAAACTCACAACAAGCATGGTAGGGGAGGACTATGGGCAGTGGGAGAACTAGCACACTTCTAGAAGCCGGAAAGAACAGAATAATTAGAGTCAAGAAGAGGGAAAAGCTGTGGTCTTAATATGCAATGAGAGCAAGAACAAAAACCTTGGCTGAACTGCTCAGAAGAACTCTGAAAGCAGAGAGGAAGAGAAAGTTCAATGAAGCATGCGGTGAGTGAGACTGAAAAGGGGTGCTCATGGAAGATCTGTAAAGGGACATCCCTGTCTGGCCAACTTTCCTCACTGCCAAAGAAACAGTTCAGAGGAGGGGCATCGCAGATCAGTGGAGATGGAAAGCATGCTAATAAATAGCACCAGGGTAACTGGTTATTTCCATAGGAGAAAAAAAAGTCAGGTGTTAACCTCAAACATAAAAATCAATTCCAGGTGAAATAAAGATTTAGGAAAGGAAAACAAAATGGCAGAATATTTTAGAAATCTTTTTTCCCCCTTAAATACAATTTAAATGAATAAGCCATAAAGAAAGAAGTAGACATCTTGGTGTATTCAGTATATAAATAGTATTTAAAGTCAAAGGCTTATATAACATTGAATATGGAAATCATGAGAAAATAAGGTAACAAAATGCCTTCAAAAACTTATAACCCCTCAAAAGCTGATCCCACAGATGCTGAAGTAGATGAAATCCCAGACCAAGGATTTTAAAAACTGATAATTAAAAATATCAGTGAGATAAGGCTGGGGATATAGCTCCTGACCGGGAAGCACGAGGTCATGAGTCTGATACCCAGTACCAAAAAAAAAAAAAAAAAAAAAAATCAGTGAGATCAAAGAAGCACATGTGAGCAGCTAAAATAACCAGTGAGCTCAAAATACATACAAACAAGCAGCTGTATGAACTAAGGAAGACAATGTCAGACATTGAACACCACCATGTCAATAAAGACAGAGGTTCTAGAAAACAAACTGGCAGAATCCTGAAAAATGAAAGCTTCCATAAATCAAATAAAAAACTCAACTGAAAGTCTCTGTAGTAGAAAAGACAAATCAAAAGAAATGTTACCGGAATTTAAAGACAAGGTGGATGTATCAGAACAGTCAGGGATAACGAAGACAGACTTAGAAACAAAGAAAAGATCACCCGAGAGCTCAAAGGCAACTCTAAAAGAACAAATTTAAGAATTGGTGGTCTTGTGGAAAGTGTTGAAACACAGCGTAGTGGCATTAAATATCCATTCAGTAAAATCATTGCAGAAAACTTCTCAAGCCTAGGAAATGAGATTTGAGAAATGGGATTTGAGCCAGATACCCAGGTAAAGGAACCCCAAACTGAATAACTAGAAAAGAACCTTTCTACGACACATCACGGTCAAATTGTCAGGAATTCAGAACAAAGACAAAATGTTAGAGAGAGGCACCAAATCACACAGGCAAACCCCTCAGAACACTTTTTCTCAACAGGAACCTTCAAGGCTGGAAGGGATTGGAATGAAGTTTTTCAAGCTCTGCAAGAAAATAACTGACAATCTATATTCTATATCCTCAAAGATACCCTTCAAATCAGAGGAGAAATAAAGACCTTCCATGATTAGAAGAAGCTACAGAAATTCATGACCACCAAACCAGCGTTGCATAATACTTGAGGAAATCCTACAGAGACAACGAGGACAACAACCAGGGAACCAAGAGGAAGAGTAAACCTCTCTGTGCGAGTGTGTCAGGAGGCAAACACAGAACCCATGCTGGTGAGGCTGCGGGGTGGAGGGAGGGTGGTAAAAAGGAACCCTGCTTCACTGCTGGTGGGATGTAAACTGACACAATCACTGTGGAAATCAGTAGGGAGATTCCTCAAACACAAAAGGAGGATTCCTCTCAATGCAGTCATTCCTCTTCTAGATAGCTTCCCAAAAGAGTCAGACATCATACTATATGATACACACATACCTATATTTATAGCAGCACAACTCATAATAGCTAAATCAGGGAACTGGCCTATGTGACCATCAGCAGATGAGTAAAAAAACCCATGGTATTTATACACAATGGAGCACTGCTGTATTACAAAGAAGAGATAAATTTGAGTCATTTGTAGGAAAATCGATACACCTTGAATCTATAATGTTAAGTGAAGTAAATCAGACACACAAGTTTAAGTGTCATATGGTTTCTCTTATACGAGGACCCCAAAGCATAAATAAATCAAAGAGTGAAACAAAAGTTAGATAACAGGACATAGGGAGACAGCTTTTTTGCAAATGGAAAGGAGTCTAAAAGATGGAGGGAGGAGGGAGGAACAGAAGGGAAAGCAGACATAAGGAGAGTTAAGGTGTGTTATGTTTGTGTATCAACTCCCCCAGATGAATATAACCATAATATGCTGTAAACATGTATTTATAATAAAAAGAACTGGCTCTAGGACCATATTAGAAAACTGGCTCTACGACTCATATAAATTATCAGAATTTCTATTCTTGTTGCTTATTTTTCTAACTGAAAGAGTTTCACATGTGAATTTTCAAGTATAAGAAATACTTTGATAGAAATAAAGTATACCTTAAAACTGAAATTTTCAAAGTTTAAGTCTAAATATATGTCAGGCTGTTAGAAAATTTCTTTTTTTTTTGTTAGAAAATTTCTAAAGCATTATTCTAAAGCCTCTCAAATCATTACTTTTAGTATACTTTTTTGCATATGAAAGGCTTAAAGAATTCTAGCTAAACACTTGAAATAAAAGCTGTATTATACTTAGTTTGAAAAGCACTTTAGCATTTGGTTAAGATAATAAAGCAAATGTACTTCCTAGATAAAAACTTAAATATATTTTATCCTTGTTAGGCTTTTAAACATTATGAATATATATTTAAATTATATAATATTCTCTCATCTACTTGACTCCAATATGCTTTACTGAGAGGAAGAGAAACACACAGGTGTGGATAATGTCAGAATCGTTCATTCTGTGATACAAGAAAAGAGGTTGTGAAGCATGGGAATTCCACAGACCATAACTGAATACTTACTCCAATTTGATCCCAAAGAGTTTATTACTACTATTTAAAGAGTAAGGTTTTGTGCTGGCTGCTGGGCATACAACAGTGGTCAGGATAATCAAGATCCTTGGCCTTACGAAGAGCTTGCATTGGCAAGACAGATGTGAAACTATTATTCACCATCTAGGTTATAGAAAAGAACTCAGAGGAAGTGCAGGATAATGAGACATAAGGCAGTTTCTGCTCTGGTCCCTGGAGTCAGAGAAAAGTTTTGGGGATGTGAGGTTATAAGACGTCTGTGGTGCCTTGGAGTTAGCTAGGCAGGGTCAGGAAGTACAAGGCAGTTGGTACCAGTAGAAGTCTGTTCTTATGGAAATGTTCTGAGCTAGCAAAGAAAGGAACCCAAAGGGTCAGCAAGGCTGATGGTGTGGGATGAAATAGCTAAGGGCATTGAGGCCTCCTAAACCTGTACTAAATAACTTAGACTTTTCTTATAAACAAAAGGAAACCACTAGAAGGTTTTATAATTTCTATTTTTAATTCTTCCATCGTAGCTTCTTTTTTCAAACTTCTATTTTTCAGTAACCTTCCTTAATCAAGAAGACCATTCTTCAGAAGGGATGAGATGGGGAATAACTGAGCTCCTTAAAGCCGCTAGCGTCCTGCAAGTGTGCCATGGCATACCCTGTGTCCTCGGGAAATGGAGAGATGGTGCTTCCCTCGGTCTGGCAGGGGTCCTGGGGGGGAGAGGCAGAGTCTTTGCGGTCTTGATTTGTAGCATTGTTGGCTACTCGTTGTTGCAAGTCCCAATGCCGAGCTACGTTGTTAATTGTTAACCTTTTCTTCTCCTATGACAAGAATTACAACATATAAATTTCTGAAGAGAGAAGCCCAGGAACATATTGTTGGTGGCTTCTTGCAGTACTTTCAAAGACAGACTATTCCTTGTAAGTGGCTACTCAATACCCATTCTAAAGCCACACTCAGGAGGCCTGCCTTTACCCTGTGGTTCAAATACCTCAATAATGCTATGTCATCATAAAGGAAAAAGTCATACAAACAATATTTACTCCTTAGGAACTTTATTAAAAATAAATGTATAAAATTTATCAGATAATTTGCTATCTGAAACGTATATGCCTCTGACAGAAATGTATATGTCACTGTCTTTAAATACAGCAAAAGGAACTAAGATTTTTCTTTTTCGTCTTTTTTTTTTTTTTTATGGGTAACAGGGATTGAACTCACGACTGCCTGCTTGCAAGGCAGGCGCTTAGGCCGCTGAGCTAAATCCCCAGCCCAGGAACTAAGATTTTTATTTCACTATGCAAAATTAGGATGAATGTGGTGTTATCGCCTTGGTGGGGAGGAGAAAGGAGAGGCACTGATGAATGTTACAAGTTTAAAAAGCATTGACTGTCATGTCTAGAAAATGAAAACAAAATACTGTCTATACTGCTAAAACATAAGCTGATGTGTTTCTAGATAATTAGCCATTTTAAAAGAACACGAATAAATGAATTCATCATATGTGACGGATGCCTGAAAGCAGTGTTTTCTAACTTTAGGGTGCATCAGGTCACCTAGAGAGCTTTTCCAAACAGACTGCTGGACCTCGTCCTGTTCTGCCTTGCGTTTGGTGTGGGGCTTGTGAACTTGTGTCACCAGCAAGCTCCAAGTTATTGGTAACATTGCTAGTTCACTTGAAACCCACGTACTTGGGACATTAGAGCTCAGTTCTCTCAGAGAGACCCTGTGGAGCAAATCAGATCTAAGCCACTGAAACAAATCTGTGCTAGATTAAATATTTCTGTCCCATTTATATTCAGTTTATATTGCCTTGGATAAAGAATTCCTATTCTAGTGAAGTTCCCATTACCAAAGGTTAACATTGTGAAACCGAATTTCAACTAGATCAGAATATTAAAACTACATACATTCCCTTTTCTCTTTGCTATGAGGACCATCTGCCAAGGAAAGATCAGCATTATGACACTGCTGCCTCCCCACCAGCCATCTGGAGCCAGCAATGGCTGGGAGACAGATTTGCTGACCTCGCCCCAGTGCCTGGCTACAGAGAGAATCATAATTTCTAGTTTTATCTCTTCACCTTCACTGGTTTAAGATTTCAGCCTGTGTGCATGGCATTAGGTAGGAACAAACAGTGACGTGGCTTGCTTCATTCCACTCAACTTTGCATACTTCCATTCTCTGCTTAAAACTTCTATTTCTCTAGCTTTGGCCTAGGTTCTTTGTTCTGTTGTTTGGAATTTCAGAATGGCCTGTGTAGCAAACTGGGTTACACTGAAGGTGTATGTATACTTGTGAGACGTTTTGACATTTTATGTATGCCCTCTTCATCTAATGCAAGTAGGGTTCTGCTCTTCTACTATAAAACATCATTCCCTAATCTATAATAAAAAGGCATTCTACCTTCAGGAATTTTATTTTAGCCACTTGCAGATGATTGCACCAACCCAATTTTTAATCTCAATGATGCAGCTATTTTTACTTAGTATCACGGTCACTGGCCCCTTGCATTTGGCTTTCTGGATGACAGGGGCTGGCAGAAAGGAGCATTCTCAATGAGGTATGTACAGCAATGCTTAGAAAAAGAGCCCTAAAGGATCTCCACACCACTGGGTATGTTAACAAATTTATAACAAGATAGTTTCTGGAAATGCAAACACTTTCTTATATCCATGCTAAAGTTAAGCTTCTTTTACTTGGGCTGTTAAAATCAGGTTAATGTCAGGTTGCCTAAGAAAATGAGTAATTTTATTGGGGCCAGGATAGAGGAAGTGATACTTCAAGGCAGGAGTGTATCCTGAGGCCAGGTGAGCTGACTGGTGGCCAGAGGGCCACAAGAGGGCTCTAGACACCATGGTGCAAGAAAAAAGAAGCAAAAGAAAGGCTTAATTATGCTATCCAAGCAAGACTATACAAGAACGTGCCATAATTACTATGTCTTTTCATTTCTGTTGCAAGGAAAAAGGCAGAAAATACAGGCCCATGAACCTCCCACTCCTCTGTACCCAATCCATCCCATTTTCTTAATGATCAACATATGGAGTTAAATGAAAACAATCCTCAGAAAATACTGAAGGTCATGACTCTTAATCCTGAGCAAGAGCTAGAACCTGGATATACTGATATCTGCACGCCTCTAGATTTACTAACAATAAAAGCTAACTAACCTTTCTCATGAAGATGTCCTATTAGTGAACTGAATAAAAACATTCACTATTTTCCAAAGTTACAGAGTTTGTTTTTGTTTGGTTTTGTACTAGGCTTGGACCCAGGGCCTTTACATTTCCAGCTCCCCTAACCCCACATACTTTTTTTTTTTTTTACTTCGAGTCAATGTTATTCTTTTCAATGTTTGCTAAACAATTAAACAATTTCCTCAAATGCTCATGGTAATAAGGTAACTGAGTTGGGTATATAACAAAAAATTTCCAAATTTGATCTGGTACTTATGCCAAGCTCTTCTTACACTGGAAGCCTCATAGCTAAATCATCAATGGATTTTATTCCTCATTTCTACACTTGAGGACTATCATGTGAGACTGTTCTGTAGATCTGAGAGCTTTCATTCTGTGCATGTATGTACAGCTTTTTATTCATTCATATTTGTTTACGTACTCATTTACATATGCATTTGAGCATAGTAAACGCATGAAAATGAACACTACTGTTTCTAAAGGAAACATTTACAAAAGTTTGCAAATAGCAATGCCTGGCAATGGCAAATGCTGCTTCTATAGGTTTTTAAAAATATTTCCTAAAAACCAAGGTACTTTTGGCCAAGCCTTAGGGATATTTCAACATAGGAAAGACTGAAATTCTGCTGGCTAAATCAGTAAAAGGTAGGCTTGTCAGGAGTGTGGTTATACACACCTAACTAATGGGAGAAGGAATAACAGATGAAAGGTGAGGAGGCCTCTGGGAGCCAGCAAAACAGCAGGTAAGGAGGCTGCAGTGTATTTAGTAACATTTAACTCTAAACCGCTTTTGAAGTCCTGAGATGCAAAGAATTGGAAACAAGTTTTTTTATTATTGTCAAGGTTTATTTTCTTTACAAAATATTTGTTAGTATGTGGTTGTGATACACAATGAATGTGTTCATTTTGGGAAATTGGTACATACATATCACAGCTTAGTTCTTTTTATTTCTCTTTCCTCTCTACTCCCTCCATTCTCTTGATCTTCTTTTTATGTACAAAAAGGCTATCTTTTACTTGCTGTTTAAATTATTTATATTTTGTTTTTTTCATATAAGAGAAAATATACAATATTTAACCTTCTGTGTCTGATTTATTTTGCTTAGCATTATGGTCTCAAGGTGCATCCACTTTCCTACAAATGACTCTCATGTATTCTTATTAAGGCTAAGTAATACTCCATGGTATGTATATGTGTGTGTGTGTATATATATATATATATATACATATATACATATATCTTATGTTTTCTTCATTCATTATTCATTCATCTGTTGATGGGTATATAGGCTATTTTTAAGATTTAGCTATTACGAGTTGTGCTGCTATAAATATTAGTATGCATGCATCACTGTAATACGATGTCTTTAACTCTCCCAGAAGAAACCTAGAAGAGGAATAAGCTGGGTAGAACGGAATTTCTAGTTTTAGTTTTTTGAGGAATCTGTATAGTGATTTTCATTGTGGTTGTACTAGTGTATTTTTCCATCAACAGTGCAAAAGGTCTCCTTTTTCCCTGCAGCCTTGCTAGCAATTGTTATTATTTGATTTATTAATGATTGTTATTCTTTCCAGGATAAGATGAAACCTCAGTGTAGCTCTGAATTGCATTTCTCTAATGGCCAAGCATGCCAAACATCCTTTCCATGTTCTTATTGGTCACCTGTACTTTTTCTTCTTGAGAAGTGTTTATTCAATTCAATTGTGTAACACCTATTTTTATCTCTTTAAAGTCTCTTGCGTTTGCATGTGTTTTATAGTGTACATCATCTTGTACTTTTAAGTACAGGTTTATTTATAGATAACAATTCATTAAAGCTTTAGATCCCCTCATTTATAAAATACTTACTACTGATAAGTCAGCATGAAAAACCTACAAAGTTTAGAAACAAATTTTCCAGGAGATGAGCCTGCTAGCTTCACTGTGTGTGCATGCTAGGATGAAGATCTCAGCGAAAATACCTTAAGCAAACTCTGCTTCTGACTTTCCCGCTTCTTCTCTTCCTCTTTTTTGGCTACAACAGATGCCATACGTCTTTCTTCTTCCTGAAAAAAAAGTTTTGGAAAGTATTAGGAAATGTTTAATAAAATGTTAATGGTAAATATCATTGGCCCAACACATCTGGCCTTCCTCTCCTTCTATTTGCTAACAAAACATACCTTCGAAGAGAAACTTGGTATGTTTCTCTTTATTGTGTTCTTCCTTCCTATTTCTAAAACACTTGCTTTCCCTCCCCACTTTTCTTTCTGAGATAGGGTCTTGCTACATAGTTCACGCTGCCCTTGAACTTATTGTGTATCAAAGCCTGGCCTGGAACTCTTGGTGATCCTCCTGCCATAGCCTCCCAAGTGCTGGGCTTACAGGCATGAACTACAACAGTAGGCCTCCCTTCTTATTTATAAAAAATTATTCATTTAACTCTGAATGCTAGATGAACTTAGCTCATTAATATATCAAGCAAAAGGTATAAGAGAAAGAAAAATGGAGCTGGTTTG